AAAAAAAAAAAAAAAAAGAATACATATAGGGTTGGGCGCTTGTAGCACAGTAGTTACGGTGTCAGCCACATACACCAAAGGTGGTGGATTTGAACCTGGCGGAGCCAACTAAACAACAATGACAACTGCAACAAAAAACAGCTGGCCATTGTGGCAGGTGCCTGTAGTCCCAGCTACTTGGGAGGCTTGAGGCACACACACTACATTTATAAGACCTGGCACGGTGGCTCATGCCTGTAATCTTAGCACTCTGGGAGGCTGAGGCGGGGGGAGGGGGGGATTGCTTGAGCTCAGGAGTGAGCCTAAGCAAGAGTGAGACCCTGTTCCTAAAAATAGCCACGTGTTGTGGTAGGCACCTCTAATCCCAGCCTCTCTACTCTCAGGAGCCTAAGGCAAGAGGATTGCTCAAAACCCAGAAGTTTGAGGTGGTTGTGAGCTATGACACAACAGCACTCTACCTAGGGTGACAAGGTGAGACTCTGTCTCAAACAAAAGGCACACATTTATCTGTGTGTTCTAATTTAATCTAATTATCTAATTTGACCCTTGAATTAGAGAAAATTCAATAATAAGTTCTATTCTCATTTCTTTGTTTTTGGTAAATGTTAGTGCTGAGAAAACTTGTTCACATATAGAAATAGATGACAACACTGTCACACATTTTGCTCAATGCTTTCTGAGATCTATGAAAAAAAATTACATAGTAGCTCATCACCAGAAGTTATTTTTTGGCTGGACGAGGTGGCTCACACCTGTAATTCTAGCACTCTGGAAGGTGTAGGCAGAAGGATTGCTTGAGCTCAGGAGATCGAGACCAGCTAAGCAGAGCCAGACCCTCTGTCTACTAAAAATGGAAAAATAAAGTATTTTTAATAATCTCTCAGCTGACAACTTGGCTACATTTTTCTTTAATCTGTGTTGAAAGCAAGAATTTGACCATACCTGTGTATGTAAAAGTCATTAGAATATTCTGGGAGGTAGAGGGAGGCGCCGGTGGCTCAGTGAGTGGGGCGCCGGCCCCATATACTAAGGGTGGAGGTTTCAAAACTGGCCTTGGCCAAACTGCAATGAAAAAATAACCCGGCATTGTGGCAGGTGCCTGTAGTCCCAGCTACTTGGGAGGCTGAGGCAAGAGAATCTCCTAGGCCCAATAGCTGGAGGTTGCTGTGAGCTGTGAGGCCACCGCACTCTACAGAGGGCGACAGAGTGAGACTCTGTCTCCAAAAAAAAAAAGTCTGGGAGGTATGCCAAAGACACTTCGTCAAGATTTTTCGAATTACTATCAATTATAACCAGCCACGCTGTTACTTAGAAATACCTTGTTGGCTCGGCGCCTATAGCTCAACCGGCTAAGGCGCCAGCCATGTACACCTAAGGTGGCGGGTTCGAATCCCCAGCCCGGACCCACCAAACAGCAATGACGGCT